CTCCCACCGTCTGAAGAGTGACACGCCATTCAATCCTCTGCCCGACACCGAGAGGAAGCACCGAGTCTCTGCACACAGGAGAACCATTAATAACACAAACAAGATTGAACAGAAAGCAGCTGCGAGGAGAAGGAGAAACAGAAGAGGAGGAGGAGGAAACACCGAGTCCTGTCGACATGGGGATCCGAAAGAAGACCACCAAGACCCCGCCGGTTCTGAGCCATGAGTTTGTGATCCAGAACCATGCAGACATTGTTTCCTGTGTTGCTATGGTGTTCCTGCTGGGGCTGATGTTCGAGGTGAGTCCACATGCTGAGGTCCAGATATCCAGGTCCTCCACATCTGTCCATCTGTCCGTAAATAACATGTCTCCACTTCCTCCTCTCATCCAAAGTTTCTGTGCCCGCTGCTGGCCTCTCTTCCCTGCCTCTTCCTCCACCAGTGAATATGCTTAAAGGGGCTCTTACGCGTCTTTACGCATCGTTTTGATCCTATCTCCAAAAAAAACCTACTATTCTCGTCTTTTTTTGGTAACGTGACGCATGCTAGAGTCCATCTGGCAGCTTCCCATCTCCAAATCCATATTGACATCCTAAAGTTTTTTCATGTGCAGCTTTATTCTTGTTTATTGTTGTTATTGTTTAATAGTGTGTGTTGCAGACTTGTATCTTTGCATGTGTGTGAGTTACTTAAATATCGCTGTGCTCTCTGTGCGTAAATGGGTTACGTGGCAATCACACACACACACCGCCTGCGCTCTGTCATCCCTCACACACACTCTAAGTTAAATATAGACGTGAAATAAATGTTTTAATTGAGAGTTGGTGCTGCAGAGTGAACACGTAAAACCCTATCTTCCTGCTGGGACACTTTATTCTACATTAAATATGATTTTAAAGCGAGTTTCATCCTCGAAGGGAAACAGCGCCATTAGGCGTTTCAACTACTTCCTGTTTTTGTTCACCAAAGTAAAACTCTAACAGCTGTTGCATCGTGTGTGTGGTACTTTAACTGCTCTTTCAAATATAATAACCACTAATGAACATTAAATAAATACTACTTCTGTTTAATTACATGTTTGTTTATTTTGTTGTGAACGAGGAAACAGTTACTCCCTGTTCCAGCCTCACATCTAATACTTTATTGGTAAACTCACCACTATTTTATTACATTTCTAAACTTATTAAAGTCTAAATATGCGAAATATCTCTATATATTTGACATATGTCCATTTAATTAAAACTGCTTAATCAATGTTTTTATAATTATGGTTTATTTGTAATTTTTAATCTGCTTTTTCTCATGATTTGTGTATTGTCTGTAAATGTCCCATTGTTAAGGTGATATCTGCTAATTCAAGTATAATTATCGTATTCATTGACTTTTACACAAAGTATTGAAAAGCAGATCAAAGCCTTTTAATTAAAGCTGAATAACTGATGCCTTTTTTTTAACTTTTGTAATACAATATATAACCCTGCCCTGTTTGATTTCACTGTTAGAGTTCATGTATGCAGGCCTTTTATTTTATTAATCAACAATATATATATAAAATACAAGAATTACCACAATGAAATAGTTTTTGGGTCAAAAACCTCACATTTTATGGTGAAAAATGTACAAACTTTATGATACAGTGCATTTGTTCAAGTCTTGATGTGAGTATGAAAACCAAAAAAGAGAAAAGCCATCTATAGATAACAACACAATGAACTATAACCTCCTATAATCATATTTAAAGTTGTATTTGAATGTCTTTACCGACTACAGGTCACCTCGAAGTTTGCCGTGCTCTTCATCACCGTGCAGTACAACGTCACCATCTCAACCAGCGGTGAGTCTCCAGATGTCATTACAGCGCATGTTAGGAGGAGACGACGTGTTGTCCGTGAGAAGCCTCTCATTTGGACTCGGAGACATTTAGAGGTCTTCCTTCTGTCTCTGGAGCTACATGTAGTCCTGATGCATAAAGTGCATTCGGGCTGAGGTGGAGCGCAGGGCCTCTCATTCACACATCTCAAGGTTGTTCCTCTGCAGATACAATAGTGTGTGTACAACGCTGGAGATTACACACACACACACACACACACACACACACACACACACACACACACTGCTGCTGCTGATTCAGGCCTATATCTGAGAGCGCTGTCACTTATTTACAGTGTATTATGCAGCTCTGAAATCTCTCTGAAACAGATTCAACAGTTCCTTCTTGTGATGTCGGTGCATCGATCCCGAGCAGAGGAGTGTGTCTCACATTGCTGCACAGATACAGGGTGTGTGTGGATGAAATGTAACTTCAGTGTGTGACTCTTAAAGCCTCAAAGTGGTGCAACACTGCGATGCTGAGGCGCTTTGATCCAGACAGATTTAAGGTGATGAAACATCACAGCATGGACTCGTGCTCCGAGGAGAAAACGTGTTCGAACGGCGCTCTGAATAAAGTATTGAGGTCCTGCAGAAAGAAGTCAGGAATCTTCACCATTTGATATTACAACACACATTTGTTTAAATATATTTAATGTTTATCTCATTTCAGTACAACGTCCCATTTGATTTGATTCTATTATATCTTTCTTTTAAATATTTTTATTTATTTAATTGCATTTAATTTAGTCTTTTTAAATTTGATTTCATCCTTTCTTAAATTGAGCAATTGTCACACAACTCTTGGTATTCAGATTCTTATGATAATCCTGAATTTGTTTAAAGAAAATTCTGCAGAAATTCTGATATCAGAATTGCAATTTCAGCCAAAAGATAATCACAAATACACATTTCTAGTAAATTCCTCAGCTCTAAAGTTGGTGCCTTTTCGGACAGAAATGAAACACATTACGGGTTAACTTTTTAAACCATGCTCACTGTGTTTAGGTCCAGAGGAGACGCCGGTGAACCACTTCCACCACGGCATCAAAGACCTGGCCACCACCTTCTTCTACATGCTGGTGGCCATGATCATGCACGCCATCATCCAGGAGTACGTGCTCGATGTAAGTAATAATAATAAAGCTTTATTTATATAGCACTTTTCATACAACACATGCAGCTCAACGTGCTTTACAGAATGACACATCACAAGTTAAAGATACACCACAAGAAGTTCCTAAATAATACAGAGCACACCAGGCTTGGAATTTCGTCATTTTAGGGGCAAGGCCATTTGGCCTTTGGTGTCACACATTTCTTCAGGGCGCAAAGGCCATTGAGGGAAACATTTGGATTTGGAGCTAACTAATAAATAACTTCACTTTCTGATGAGAAAACACGAAGGACATGGAAAACAAATCACTTTTTTAATATCAATAATGTCAAACATATCGTCATATAGGCCTCCTTAGTATTACCGTATATAAAATAAAATACTCTACTTTGAATAATTAGTGTTTGGGAGAAGTAGATGGAAAACATACCAAACACAAATCAAATCTAAAATTCTATTAATATGTAACAAATATATTCCATTTCAGAAGAAACCGCCTTCAAGGGTCAAACTCTGCACATTCAGCGGTGCACAGTGAAGTGTGTGTGTGGGTGTAGAGAGTCTTTAATCAACTCCTCACAGCTCTGTTCAGAAACTGAATACAGTCGTTGCTTTAATTCTGTCTTCAGGACGTTGTGAGTGTGGACGGAGCAGCTGCAGGTTAGCTTAGAAAACACGCATTTTAAAAGGTGTTTCTCTGCCGTCTGTCTGCAGACTTGTCAAAGCATTAATTCATGGTTGTTACTAACCGGTATCAGTATGTTGTTACTTCAGCATCCTTTAGAAACGTGTATTACAATTAAATCACGGTCAAATAGGTTAATTGTCGTAGTTGGTTTCCACCACAGTATTTACATGGAAATAAGCCCCGCCCCCTCTCCAGCGTCCTGTTTGAATGACAGGAGTAAACACAGCTGACAGCCGAGGTGAAACTCCAGCGGTTAGAGCGATGAGAATATTCGAATGCCATCGCGTCCGTTGTGAACGCAGCATAATGCAGTTCTGTCGCTTTTAAAGCAACTTCGAGATTTTAACAGTGTGAGGCTCAAAGGCCATGGTGGCCGGAGGACGTACAATTATTTGTGGGGCATAACGGCCAGACCGAGGGGCTACGACGGCCATGGCTGTCATGTAGTGTGTGTACTCCTACCCTCCTATACATACACACACACACACACGTACACACTTTAATCTCGACGGACACTTCTGCATGTTTAAACGTTGCTGTTTTCTGCAGAAAATCAACAGGAAGAAGCACTTCTCCAAAACGAAGCACAGCAAATTCAACGAGTCGGGGCAGCTCAGCGCTTTCTACCTGTTCTCCTCCGGCTGGGGGGCGAGCATCCTGATGTCTGTGAGTAACATGAGATCCTTCACATCTGATTAACGTCCTAAAACTGTCCTTTTTATAACTTGAAACCCTTCTCTGTGCTCAGGAGAACCTGCTGTCCAACCCTGTGTCTCTGTGGGAGGGGTACCCACACACACTCATGCCGTAAGTCGACCATTTTGCAGATTTTTAGGGGATTTGAATGAATAATATGTAACATGTCTAGAAATATGATATATATTTACTAGTGGTGTGGCTTCAGAGGAATGTGTTGTTTTTACCGTACGCTTTTTAGAGCTTGGTGCTTTTTAAGTCGTTATTTTAAACGTATATTTCCACATTGTTTTTGTTTTTAAAGATGTATTTTCTAGGTTTGAGAAGTCTGGATTTGTAGTTCTTGTAGAAACAAGCTGACGTTTGATTATGAGTCGCAGAAAAGAACACATTATGCATTGACATCTTCCAGGAAAGCAGCTTTAAGTGTGGCTGCTAATTATCCGTTTCATATTTATACTCCTGATTCTCCTTCAGATTCCAGATGAAATTCTACTTCATTTGTCAGCTGGGCTACTGGCTGCACGCTCTGCCTGAACTCTACTTCCAGAAGACAAAGAAGGTGTGTGTGTGTGTGTGGCGGTGTGTGAGTGGCGGTGTGTGTGTGTGTGTGTGTGTGTGTGTGTGTGTGAGTGTGTGTGTGTGGGGCGACTTCCTGTCTGGTCGTGTTTCATTGTTTCCTGCTCGACTCCTCTGTATTTATTTGGATTCTGTGTTTCAGGAGGATATTCCTCGGCAGCTCGTCTACATTTTCCTCTACCTCGTCCACATCGCCGGCGCCTACATCCTCAAGTAAGACCAGAACCAGAACCACAACCGTAACTAGAACTAGAACCACAACCAGAACTAGAACCAGAACTAGAACTAGAACCACAACCAGAACTAGAACCAGAACTAGAACCAGAACTAGAACTAGAACCAGAACCACAACTAGAACCACAACTAGAACCAGAACCACAACCAGAACTAGAACTAGAACCACAACCAGAACTATCACCAGAACTATCACCAGAACTAGCACCAGAACTAGCACTAGAACCAGAACTAGAACCAGAACCAGAGGGCTTAATTTAATCCGTGGGGAAATGGGTTTGGAGACAGTTGTTCCATTTTAGAGTAAAGTAAAATAAATGATAAAAGAAAAAATAGAAGAAAAACAAGAAATACATTTAAGAATGTGCAAAAAAGATGTATAAATATAGAAAGTTAAAATCAAATGAGTTAAAAAAACAAAACAATGGAACATAAACATTAAGTGTAATTATACACATATAGACGTGTGTGTGTGTGTGTGTGGCCATCCTTCTGTACAAAGTGTGTGTGTGTGTGTGTGTGTGTGTGTGTGTGTGTGTGTCGTCCCTGTTTTAACAAAGTGTGTGTGTTTCAGTCTGAACCGCCTGGCTCTGGTTCTGCTGGTTCTTCACTACGTCGTCGAGCTTCTGTTCCACATGTCCCGCCTCGTTTACTTCAGCAACGAGACGCGTCAGTCTGGGTGAGTTCTTCCTCTCCTCAGTTCCCAGTATATATAAATATGTATATACTGTATATATTCCCAGTATATATAAATATGTATATACTGTATATATAAATATGTATATACTGTATATATAAATATGTATATACTGTATATATTCCCAGTATATATAAATATGTATATACTGTATATATAAATATGTATATACTGTATATATTCCCAGTATATATAAATATGTATATACTGTATATATAAATATGTATATACTGTATATATTCCCAGTATATATAAATATGTATATACTGTATATATAAATATGTATATACTGTATATATAAATATGTATATACTGTATATATAAATATATATATACTGTATATATAAATATGTATATACTGTATATATAAATATGTATATACTGTATATATAAATATGTATATACTGTATATATTCCATTGACGGTTTCTTTCTCTCCAGCTTCACGCTCTGGGCGGTTCTGTTCGTTCTGTGTCGGCTGCTCACTCTCTCTCTCTCCGTCCTCACCGTGGGATTCGGACTCGCAACCTCGGAGAACCAGGGCTTCGATCTGTCTGCAGGAAACTTTAACGTCATCTTTGTTCGGTGAGTGTGAGCGCGAGGACACGCGGGAAGATAGGACACGCGGGAAGATAGGACACGCGGGAAGATAGGATACACATTTTTAACAGTGATATTAGTCTGAAATACAGAAATGCAATAGCCTGTAAAAGTATAAACCCCAAATATCCACTTTTGAAATGACTTTTAGCAGATTGTTTATGATTCATAATGCACACTTTCTTCGTTCATTTCATTTTTTTTAAAGGTTTTATTTCATTTTTATACAAAACAAGACGTTCCCTGACATGGCACCTTAAAATAAATGGAAATAAATAGACGTTTTTCTTCTCATTTCAATGCAGGATCATCAGGTTGACCACTTACAATAAAGACCTTATTTCCACCATTTCTGTGTATGACCAGTCATTCAGGAAGAGGAAGAGGAGGGGGAGGAAGAGGAGGGGGAGGGGGGTTCAGTCACTGATACTTCCTTTAAACCCAAACACTCGTCTGTTCTGCAGACTTTCAAACGCATTGTGTGTGTGCGACATCATTCACTGCTTCGGACGTACCGGAGTGTCCGAGGGTTAGGGTGGACTGATGTCCCGTTTCTACCCGTTTATAACTGTATTTAAATATTTGATTTGCAGGATCACCGTCCTGGCGGCCATTTGCCTGACGCAGGCCTTCATGATGTGGAAATTTATCAACTTCCAGCTGAGGAGGTGGAGAGAACACGGCCTGACGCAGAACCTGAAGAAGAAGCAGGTTCCCGCCAAGAGCAAATCGAAGAAGGACAAAGGTGCGCGCACACACACACACACACACACACACACACACACACACACACACACACACAGCGCTACACACACCTACACTGCTACACACACACAGCTACACACACACACACACATACACACACACACAGCGCTACACACACACTACACTGCTACACACACACACACACAGCTACACACATGCACACGCACACACACAGAGCTGCACACACACACACACACACACACACACACACACACACACACACAGCTACACACACACAGAGCTACACACACACAGAGCTACACACACACCTACACACACACATCTACACGCCTACACACACAGCTACACACACACACCTACCTATACAGCTCTACACACACACAGCTGCGCACACCTACACACACACAGCTACACACAGAGCTACACACACACACACACACACACACAGAGAGCTGCACACACACACACTACCACACAACCACAGCTACACACACAGAGCTGCACACACAGAGCTGCACACACACACACACACACACACACACACAGAGCTGCACACACAGCTGCACACACACACACACACACACACACACACACACACACACAGAGCTGCACACACACAGCTGCACACAAACACAGCTATACACACACACAGCTGCACACACACACACATCAGTGTGTTCCTCTGCACTGGATATGAAAACAAGCAGCAAAATGAAAGCCGGGTACTGGGAAGAAAACCCAAACAAAAGAAAAACAGCGCTATTATAAATAAATATACATTTAAAATAATGAAGGTGATTAAAAAGACATCACATACAGAAATAGCCTATATAAATAGGTTTTAAAATGTTTACAAATGAGGGATTTAATTATTATTTCCCCTTCAATGTATCCATGCCTACGCATCCACGGTTCATTGATAAAATGACACTAATTGAAATTCTTCTTCTCTCTTTTAGCCAACGGAGTAAACGGAGTGAACTCCGACGGAGCGGATTCACCGAGAGCGAAGAAGGAGAAGGCGTCATAAATTCATTCATTCACCCCCCCGCAAATCCCCCACAATGCATTTCCAGCGTGCCGTTATTTCAGGTGTCGCCGCTCTGCTGTGCCATTTCATATGAAAACAAATTCTGAGCTTATTTAAGAAGTGCCTATTGAGACAGAGTGTTTTGTACAGGGTGTGTAATTTTAAAAATTCAGGAATGATGTGTTAAATGTCCCCCCCCCCCCCCCCCCATATCATTTCATGCTTAATAGTCCAAAAGAAAGTGCATTCAGCCTGTGATTTATCCCACTTCATCTTATATTTATACCCGCAAGCCAAGCGCCTCTGTAAACATTGTTTAGTTGATGAATTTCTAAATAACAACCTTTTCCACAAGTGAAGGTTACACACCGTCTGTTTACACCGCAGACTCTCAGAAAAGACCGTTTTTTAACATGTCAGTGGCCAAAGTCATGGGAAATAAAGTATTGAGAAGAATATTTAAAAGACATTCCCGCTGTTATAATCACATTCACAGTTCAGTATTTCTGCAAAGTACCCTGATGTAGCATTGACTTTTTGCAGCTTTAAGATAATCCCTTACCATTAAATGACACTGTCGATACACGAGCACACTTTCTGGTTTATTTGTGAGTGATTTAACATTTTATTGTTTAAATTCGGGCATTACCACCCCTTTAGTGTTGATTTGTATGGTTCTTGCTGTCTAAATGGATTTCCTGTTTATCATGTGTCTTCTGGCCTTATTGCTTTTCTTTTACCACGTTTAGCTCCTTTCCCCCCCCGCTGTAGACCGTGCCAAATGAGCCGGATTGGCGTATGATGTATGCCGTTCACTCTCACTTGCCATAACATAAATCATGATGGTAACACTGGTTTATTTCTCCAGAATAAACCCATTACCTAATTGTGAGTCCACTTCAGCAGTGCTTTTATCAACTGGTCCTGATGGTTTGTCTATCATACAGAGGAATAAAATGTTTTATTGAATAAAGAACAGAGCTGTGTGTTTCTTATATAAACTAGTATCACAAAATGTCACAAACGATCATTTACTGCTGTGTTAAAAAAGTAAGTCATATTCTTATTTGTAAGAATTTTTTATATTTACACCACTACTGTTATAAATTGTATATTCCTACATTGTTTTTTTTACATCGTTTTTATTTCATTTTGTACATATTTCTTTGTTTATATATATATTTTTAATCGGTGTGTCACAAGTATATCCGTGTGGAAACCACCCTGTTGTAATTGCGCCTGTTCGCCACCAGGTATCGCTGTTGCTCGTGTTTTTAATGAGGAACGCTTCACTTGTGATTCGTGGACAGTTACCACACAGTCAATCAGATAACTAAGATTATTGGGAATAATTCCAAGAATATATATATATATATATATATTAATTATAAATAATAAAATATAAAAATGTTATATATAAACAGGGATATATTGACATAAGAAATTGAGATGCAACAAAAATAATTCATGGGAATTAACGAGGTTAGAGTAAAGTGTTAAATAATTAGAAAATTATTACAAATTATTACATAGAATGATAACTTAAAATAAAGAATGTGCTTAAAAATAATTAAAATATTTAAGTAAACATACTGTAAGAATGTAAAGAACAATGTCTAATAAAAAAAAAAGCATTTTTATTTACATAAGCAGTTAAAGTAGTACTTGTACTTCAATATATAACATGTATATTACAATATATACGGTAATGTTGAATGTCAAAGTTTGAAAGCGTCTATTTTTAGGTTTATATACATTTTTAAGAACGTGCATCCCTGTTTGATTTATTGCAACACTTCTCCTTGAGTTTCAATTGAGTGTTTTTCACCACAACATGCACTTAAAATATGAAATTAAAAGTGTGCAGATGCATGTAAGATATCAGGTATGGCGTTAATGTTTATTGGCACAGTTTTAAATGGGTTGTTTTCAATGTATTATGTTTATATAAATCCTAATTCCTTAAATGTGCATCCTTGTTAGTAAGCAGTATTCCCATTGGTGTACATTTGATGTATTACAACACTTTTCCTTTGTAACCTGAGTTTTTATGGGGTTTATTTTGTACTTTCGTATTAATAAGACATTCATGTTGAAAGGCACCGTTTTTAAAGGGTTTGATATAAATCCTAAAACCTTAAATGTGCATCCATGTTAGAAAGCAGTATTCCCACTGGTGTAAGTTTGGTGTATTGCAACACCTTTCCTTGTATAACCGTAAGAGTTTGGATGTTTTTTTGTGTTATTTTTGCTCCACAACAACATGCACTTAAAGGCTGGGGAAAGTGTGCAGATGCTTGCTGCTGAACAGCATCGTGTCACCCAGGTGGATGTACGTATGGAGCCCCGTGATGCGGTGTGGGGGAGGATGATAAACACTCGCTCCGCACAGCAGGAGGAACATGGCGGCACAGTCAGCCAGCACAAATGTTGTTTCACTACGACGAAGGTCAGAGAAGCTTCTGAAAACCAGGATTTAACACCGACGACAGGGAACCAACTCTCTCACCGTGAGTACCCTCATGTGTTGGGGTTCGTGTTGCAGGGGAACCGGGTGTTTCGACGGTGTGAATCCGATGCAAAGGGCTTCAATCTCGGCTGTGTGTCTGTCTGGCTTCGGCGTTAGCATGTTAGCTCCTCGGCTAAGTCAATAGTGTTTTCTGCAGGAATTACACAGAGAGCCTGCGAGCCACTTATTGCACTGTTTGTCAGCCGGTTAAACTCAACAATAAGACATATATGGACATTTTAAAGTGAGCTATTCGTGCACATTTGTTTCATATGTGCTTTTTTTTTTTTGCTGAGTGACCGTGCACACAACACCGGACGAAGTTGGCATGCTAACAGTTAGCTTTAGTCTGTCGTTGTCAGAAATAAGAGAGGCAGGAGACTCCTCTCTGCTCTCCATGTGTGTTTTCAGCGGGTTCTGTGGTTGTTGAGCTCTTATCCAACATGCTTCTTCTCCCTGTGGATGTGGAGGACATGTCTGCAGGGTGCATGGAGCTCTGTTTCTGCTGAACTAGTGTTTCTCTCATGTGTTTGCATTGTGGAGCTGCTGCTGCACCACCAGGCTAGTTAGCAGCAGAGCTATACCGGGGGCAAAGTGTCCAGAAAGTTGGGCATAGACTGCAGAAGAAGCGGGGCAGAGGGGAACAGTGCTGCTTTATGTGTGTGTACCACAATCAGCTGGTCCCATTCTACTTTGACGTGATTAAGGAAATGATAGCGGGTTTTAAGATGTGTGTGTGCATGATCCAAAAGCGTGGAAAATGAAAACAATGCAGTTTTTAAAACATCAAAAGTTAAATGTATGTGCATCACAACATGGCGACACAAGTCCCATGCTTCTTGTATGTGATTTAGGAAATATTCGATATGCTCTCTGCAGTGTGTGCATGCTGCAGAAGCGTGGAACATGAAAACAATGCAGCTTTGAAAACATCAACACGTATATGTATGCGACCACAACATGGCGACACAAGGCTCATGCTTCCTTTTGAAGGTTTTAGTACATTTGAGCTGCAGGGTGAGCATGCTCCAGAGTGGCTTTGTTGTGCTCAGAGTGCTCTCCTTTTAAGGCTCTGCTGCTCCACTGCTCCAGGACTATACAACTTGTGCCATTTCAGTGACTGTCAGCCTTTCCTCTGGGTGAAGCTGCAGGAAGGGTGAGCTGCATCCCTCTGCCCTCCTGATGGGGCACAGCTCTCCTCCTGATGGGGCACAGCTCTCCTCCTGATGGGGCACAGCTCTCCTCCTGATGGGGCACAGCTCTCCTCCTGATGGGGCACAGCTCTCCTCCTGATGGGGCACAGCTCTCCTCCTGATGGGGCACAGCTCTCCTCCTGATGGGGCACAGCTCTCCTCTGAGGTCTAACCTGGCATGTTCTCCACATGTGGCTTGGCTGCAACTTCAGGCGCTTCTGTGGGGATTTGATGGGTTTCAGTCCGATCTGACAGGTCGTTAAATGCAAAGTAAACTCTGGAGGAGTTGAACAGAAACAATGATGCATTACTTTAGACCAGGGGTGGGGAACCTCTGGCCCCCGGGCCGTATACGGCCCGCGAGACCATTTGGTGTGGCCCTCGAGGTAATTTATAAACACACGCAAAAAATACTGCAAAATAATTAAACATGTGAGTGCCTGTTTTTCCTGGCCACGGTCAGGGTCCTTAACACAACACAAGCCTAACGTGTCATCACGTGGTATATGTCTCGTCTGACAGGGGTGTAGTTCTGACGGAGAGCACCAGAACGCCGCTCTGCTCCGGCACTTCCAAACATTGCAGTACCGATAAGGTATGGGCTCAGAACAGTCTCATAATACACACATGCGCACAGAAGGATCCACACTTGTGTTTTTCAAAGCACACACAAATGTGTTCCGTTTCATATTCATGTAAATAAAATCCAAATACAGGAAAAAGTTTTACATGTGTATTTTTGATCCTCACTTATTAGTTTCCCGTTTGAATCCTCTGGACCTGCAAACACGACCGCTCTGTGTGCACGGATCGCTGTGCATTCGTGTGTGGGTTTTTTGAGACTCCCCTGACGGTCAGCCGATTCGTACTTGTACTTATTTCTATCTATAGCCAATCAGATGTCTCCTCAATTCTAAGCCAATCACATGAGCGCGCTCCCCACGAGGGTAGATTTCTTGCGTTCATGACGTAGCGCTTCATGTACGCATTTTGCGCAGTCCGGAGCTGACAGCTCCATGGAGCCTGCCTGCAGGCGCTAATCTCAGGACCCCCTCCACTCTCAGTACAGCGCCACTTTCCGAACAGGAAATGCAGCAAATACAAGCCTTTATATTATTAAGGTACAGCGCCACTTTCCAAACCATTGATGAATGCTTGTGTGCACCGTTTTAAATGTGTGTTTCCTGTATGGCGAATACAGCTGCTTTATTTATGTCTGTATGAAGTTGTTGTGAGTGTAGAGGGAGCAGCTACAGGTTAGCTTAGCCTAATCGATCAGTGCACTACGAAGCCAGTGCTAGACAGTGACCTGTTAACGGGGGGAGCCCCGCCGGTCATTATCGGCCGATATTCACTCTTAATAGTTTGATCGGTGCTCTCTATAAAGGCCGACCAGGAGAGCTGGATCTGATCGATATGGACATAAACGCGAGTGAAGTATAACCGGACGCGAGAGAGAGATCAGATCAGCTGCTGAGTCTGATGGAGACACGCAGCTCTGCATGATCACCTGAAGCCCCGCCCACTGTTTAGCGAGCTGACCGGACTGCTCAAAATGCGTATATGAAGTAATCTTACCCTCGTGGGGGCGCGCTCATGTGATTGGCTTAGAATGAAGGAGACATCTGATTGGCTATAGATAGAAAAATTACAAGTACGAATCGGCTGACCGTCAGGGGAGTCTCAAAAAACCCACACACGAATGCACAGCGATCCGTGCACAGAAAGCTGTGTTTGCAGGTCCAGAGGATTCAAACGGGAAACTAATAAGTGAGGATCAAAAATACACATGTAAAACTTTTTCCTGTATTTGGATTTTATTTACATGAATATGAAACGGAACACATTTGTGTGTGCTTTGAAAAACACAAGTGTGGATCCTTCTGTGCGCATGTGTGTATTATGAGACTGTTCTGAGCCCATAGTAAGGAGCCGTACACATGCTGCAGTTCCTGCGTGGCTGTGTCTTAGCTGTAACCCCAGTGGCGATCTGTCACACTGATCATACAGTCAATAGCTTTGTTGTTATTAGCATCTGGTTAGCTAGCTATGCTAACGAATATAAGAAGCTTTTTCTACAACCAGTGAGGTAAAGGCACATCTTCATATGATCATTATAGTTATAAAACAAATAAGAGAATAAAGTAAACGGGTATAAAATACTATATGACAGTAAAACAAAGTTGTGGAGAGTGATTTGTAAAATATCCAGAAAGAAAAAGAAAATCTTCTTCCAGTTCTGTTTCATCTGGTGTTGAGAGATGTGTCCAGAGA